TCGTTTTGGGTTTGCTGAGATACAGTTTATTAGAGCGATAGCCAAATGTCGCTCTTCTATTATCCGTTGTTTTTACCAATATGTAATGATTTTTCCTTTATATATTATTTAATAGTTGATGTTAAGTGTGGCTTCCGTGGCGCAATCGGTTAGCGCGTTCGGCTGTTAACCGAAAGGTTGGTGGTTCAAGCCCACCCGGGAGCGAACATTTTTGTTCCTTTGCTTGAAACTTATATATGATTGGTATGCATGCAGACAATGTTTATCAGCTGTGATTTACTACAAAATGTGAATTGGTACATAATGAAAATGTGTTGTATTTAAGATAAGTTTGAGATGTAAAGCTCCACTAAATCAGACGGTTTAAAATAAAGTATTTCATGAGATTCATAATCGAAATATACGTGAATCGTATATTGTATTAGCAATGTAGCACCTGATTATATTAAAAATATATATTATACGTCCACTGGCAAGTGCACGTTTGCTCCCCATATCATGTCATCATATGATCACGGTTGAGATATCTGCCTTTTTTTAGTATTCACATATTGCTTGTCTTGTAACCATTATGTATTGGTAGATGATAGTGAAAATAGATGAAGACTACTGTCATTTATGAATGAATGTTGAGAATAATTACCAATTTTTTCAAAATTAACTATTGTGATGAACAATTTTTCATCTTCAACCCCAAATGTGGTAATTAAAAAAGATTGAGAATAATAACAAGTGAAGCAACAGTAGTAAATAGTTGGAGAGGCAGTTACTGTCTTGAAATTAAACTTCCATCTTTTCAATGTATTCTTCAAAGCCAGCTTCTCAGCGTTAATAACACCCTTTATTTGCTTTTTGTTAGAATCTGATCGGTTGCTTGACTTTATGAATTTATTTTTTATCATTCACTTTAAGTTAGAATTGAATCACAACTAAAATCGTTGCATTTTTAGCTTTCCATTGAAATTAACAATGCATTATAAATCTTTTAAATTTACAACATTTGATTACAAGGGTTTTTTCTGCCTTTTTTTCAGTATTCACATATCATTATTTTAATTTTCAAATTGTTTTACTTGCCACAGAAGTGTATATTACAATTTGTCATATTTGTAGTCCTTCCTGTCATAAATTTTTCCCTTCTCTTTCAAAAAATATAATCTGTTATGTTTAAGTTTTTTTCTATTTTAATTAATAAGGTTAAAGTTTAATTCGGGTGATATTAATGAAAAAAAAAAGTTCGAAATTGACGGAAAAAAAATGAATTACAACAATACAAATGCTCTAACTGACATTACACTAAATTTGATTTGTATCACTTATTTTTCTGAATACAAAAGAAAGTAGTCAAAAATAACGCAGAAATAACTGTTATAAAAAGTTTGCTTATATCTCTCTCCATAAATCTTCATAATTTGTGACTTGTCAGTACTTATAAAAAGCATATTTGTATTTAAAATTTCAGTAAATTTAAAAAGTAAATGCGACGTTTCTCTTTTGTTGCAGCTTTTTTGTTTCTAAAATAATGAATTTTGCCTTTGTCATTTTATACATTTGCATGGATTTAAGAGCGAAATCAAGTTTTGTTTGTTTTATTTGACAAAAACTAAATTTGTTTGTTTTATTTGATAATAAATGAACGATTAACTCTTATTATAGATCTTATCCAATTTGTTTTCTTCTTTAGTTTCTTGCTAAGTATTAGTTTTTACCATCTGCTATTGTCTATTATCTATTATGTTTCTGTAAAGTCAAAGTTAGCAGAAAAATAAATAAATAAATAAATACTTCAAATTGCATTATTTTAGTTGTTTTTTTTACTAATAAAACTAATATCTTTTGTATAGTATTTTTCCAAAGCTGTGAAAGTTGTGAAAAATGAAAAAACTGAAAAAAAAATTCGAAAAGACTAATTTTTTGTTTTAATAGGTCACTGTCGAGAATTCACTTTTAATGCTTTTTTCTATTCGAATTAATTTTGAATTTCATTATGTTAGGAAAGCAGTTATATTAGACCGATCTTTCAAATTTTTTACTTTCATGAAGTGATAATATATTTGAATTTTCTAATATAAAGCAGAGAGAAAAATATAAAATAATTTCGATCAGTCTATGGTCAAATAATTTATTTTATTATACAAAGCATGTTGTGATCATAATAGCAAGTATCAAACTTCTGCCTGCTGATTAATTTCAACTTTTAATACTAAGATAGTTATTTTATTTTAGTTATGCTTACTTGATAAAATTTGCAGAAATTTTGCATTTTGGATAAGAGTAGTATTGGATAAAGTGGATAGAATAGAACCGGTCATCCGGATATAAAACAACAGGTCAGATAAATCCACAATAGTGATAACTGGATAAATGAATATATAAATGAATGAGTGATTTGATGAATGCATGAATGAATGAATAAATGAATGAATGGGCGGATGAACAAATGGGGATAAATCTAATCAAATGGTGGACTGATAGATCGATCGATAGATAGATATGATTTAAGCTCAATTCATTCTAAAATTATATATTGAACTTAACTTTGCAACCTAAATTTTCACCCTATTTATCTATTTTTGATTTCTTTGTTTACCTTCAGTTTCCTTTCGATACTTCCAAAGCACTCATAAAATGATTCATTTGTTATTTAATTATCATCAAAGATTTGCTAAGAACTTCGCCATGTTCGTCATTACTTATCTACCAAACAGTCTTCTGATGCATTTTTCGCAAAAAGTTCAATTACTTTTTGGTGCTAACTTTTTCCATACAGTCTGAGCTGACTTGCTAATTTTAATTATTCTTTTTAAATAGTACTATTTGTAAATCGTTTACGACTGCTAATTTTCACTTCCGAATACTTTTCACGCTATAGTAAGCTGAATGAAGCCAGCATGTTTTTTAATTGTCTGAGCATCATAATCAATCATAGCATAGTTTTGTTTCAAAGTTTTCAACAAATATATTCCCGCCTAATAGTCATTAATTTATGCAAATTCAAAATCATTTTAGTTTGTTACTTAATATAGCACAACAACAATGTGACTACCATATTATTCTTAGAACTTGTGTTTGTTATAATCACTGCGTCAGTATTTAAGCATCATTCCTGATGATAACTTTGGCTCGTTTTCTGTTCCATTTAAAAACAAAATTAATATACCATTAATACTGATAATAATTGTATATTTTTAGAAACTGCTATTATTATAATCAATTATTATTTATGACTTGGAAGTAATGTTACAAACTGTCTACTGACTAATTTCTGACTTCTATTAGCAATGAAACTAATGAAAATAAGATTAGTAATAGTAAGCGTAAAGATAATAGAAATAATAGTGGTGAAATTAGCGGCAACAAATTATAGTAGTAACAGAGCTAATAATAATAATGATAACAGTGATAAGACCAAAATACATGCCACTATAACAGCGATATGAGTGAGAGAAACTGAAAATTAAGTAAGTTACTCTACGGAAGGGATAACAAATAAAAGCAAAATTGATAAAGAGATTTTTGCACATGAAATTTTTATCAACTTCTCTGCATTTCTTCTTCGTTTTCGTAGTGATGCAATGATTAAGGGTGAAAGAAGGAGGTGTCAGGTTGTTTCTAAAAGATTGCTCGGAATTCCACCGAGAAATATCTAAAAATTTTAGGTTTATTCGTATGACAGCCACTCCTTCACCATTTCGTCCAGTGTATTATTTTCCCCAACATCATCCAATTTATTTATCCAACCCACCTTATCTATCCATCTTCGACAAATGATTTTATCCACTTCTGTACTATCACCATTTATATCATGTACGCCATTACAGTCATTATTATCATGTAGTCTATTACCTTATCATTCCACAAAGTTGCGATATTCATGTAATACATTGTTATTTTTTGCATATTTATTTCATTTTTCTAATTAACATTTTTGTGATTACGAAGATAACAATTTATTTAATCATCAAAATTATCACCTCTATTGTATGACTGATATTACTTGTGATTACATTTCTCTTATCTAGTCCATTTTGCTCATCCATCCAAAGTGATAATTTAAATTGCCTCCCATTGAAATATTTAATGACATACGTCGTTAATTATGCAATTATTGTTTTCATGGCAATTACAAGTCTTAGTCTTTATAAAGCTGTTATAAATTTATTATTAAGTCGGAAAGAAAAAATGAATTTTTTCAGCTAAAATCATTCTGAGAAGTTTCATCTGGAAGCGAATTCCGAAGTGCACTTATTATTTTCATTTTTCTAACGCTACTATTCTCACTTGGCAAAAGATTGCTACACGAAAAATACGTGCTATCGCGCTACTGCATTTAAGAAATCTTGCATTTAACTAACAGTAATATTCATATTTTATTCAACAATTTTTTATAACTTGAAGCTATTACTGATTTTTATAAACTTTATTCATATCAGTCATTGTAAGTGATAATATCGAGATCAGTAATTGCACTATTAAGAAGCAAGAAAAGAAGTGAACATTATAATGCTCAAGTTATTTACTTTGGCATCCTTTCACGTATGTTATTTCATTTGCACAACATAATATTCGTTCAGTATGGTAGCTGTAACCATCCGCCAACTTTGTGATTAGTCGTTGCTACTTGTAAACGCTATGCAAATTGAACCATTTCACGCATTTCAACGAGAAACTTTGTGAATTTTAGACGGAAAAAAAGCAAAAAAAAGAGGAATAAACAAGAAAAGAAACGAAATTTTGGACGAAAAAATAAACAAGGAAAAAGTTTGTTAGGGCTGAAAAGAGCGTTGAAAATTTAATTATCTCTTTAACGTTTCCCCCCGTTGTTCCGTTTATGATATCGTGGAGAAGGACGATAGTGCGAGGAATATGTACGGCAATGTCTGGCAACCCTTCTTCTTCCTTATCATATCAACAGCAACAACAACGGATCAATCTGGATGTATCCGGATTGATCCGGCTTATCCTCATTACTTTTACAACTATCCGGTTGATAACGCTGATAACATTGCCTCAGGTGGATGCTGTTAAACTTCCATTGCAATCAGCTTCTGGACTATATCATGCTACACCAAGAAAAGCTTTGCTATTTGGAACACGATCCAAATTGTCATCATCTATTTATGCTGATTCTATTCAACGATTACGTGATCTTACGGCAGAAAGACGTAAAAAATCAGATCATTTAAAAAGTCAAGATCATTCTATGCAAATTCTCTCAGTTCTGAAAAGAGATAAACCTTCTAATCTATCATTTCATACTAGTAATGATCATTTTAATCAATTTATGCCTTCATTCGTAGCAATATCTGATGATCACAAACAACAAATTTTCCATAATAAATTAAATATGCTGACTTCATCAACCAGCCCAGTACCATCACTTCCAAATATTCCAAAATCTGTCTATTCACACGATTGCAGTATTGGAAATTGTTTGCTGAATAATGGTGATAATTTTAGGCTATTGCATGAAGCAGAAGTGATTAGGACAAAAGAAAAACAGTTATCACCACAAACAAATATTTTTCCTGCAAGTAATAGTAAATCTAATAATGAAGACACTGAATCGGATTTTGTACCGGATCAATCCAGTTTGCGCACTGATTTGAAGACTGTCAGGCGTAAAATGCAATCATCCAGAGTATTAGAACCAGTTCATGCATTGTCTTATTATGAATTACGCAAAAACTTCAAAAATGATGCTCAATATGGTGATGATTCCAAAGTTATCTCATCTATTAGTAAAACTGCACCACCATTCGCTGGTGGTGCTGAGTTAACGGATTTTATACAACCTATTGAAACAACCACGCAATTCTTGGATACTTATGAAAAAAGCAATACAAATTCTGAACACCTAATTGCTCTTTCTGATAGTCATGAAAGCAATAAGTATCAAATGATTAGATCACCGGAAAGTCGTAGAACATATGCTTCACTTCAGTCACCACCACGCATGTCATCATATCTCCCTGCACCAGAAATTTACATACCTGTCAAGTCATCTTTTACCATTCCTGAGTATTCTAATTATGATGCTCATAGAACTGAACATTTTACGCAACCGCCAACTTACACTACAAATTATGAACCATACACACACGTATGTTTTAATTTTTACTATAGGTAGTAATATCTGTCCTAATGTATATGTTATGAATGTTAAATTTATCCATTATATTTGAAAAAATCATCTTTTCATCTAAGTTTTTGGACAGAATTTCTCATTTTTGTTATTTTTAAGCAAACATAAAACATTTTTTTATTTTAGAATCGCATAATTTAACATTTTTAATTATTACTGATAATTTCAAGTTTTTTATCATAGAAAAGCTGTTTCTTTTAAATACATTATTGTTGCGATTTGGAAAAAAAATGAATTCAATAAAGTGAGATTGTTTTTGCTTTTTTTTGTGCGCGATTATTACTTGTATAATGAATCCAATATTAATTTTGAAAAAAAAAAACATTGGACGAGAATAACTGATAATTGCATTGCAATTTTTATAATTATATAAATCTGAGATGCAAATTTTGAAAAAATGTAATTTTGTATTTGAATAGTTTTCTTCTGATACAAAGTAATATCAACACTAATAATATAATACTTGATAACAATTTTTTTTTCATGTATCTATCTTTTTTGGTCTTTTATTTTTAATGTTATACAATGAGGTAAAATATCCATAATTATTTTTTAAAAATCGTAAAACAATTTTGCAGACAAAATGTGATTGCTCTGAAAAGACGTAGCTAAACAATATTTTAAAATTGTTTTCTCATAATGCAAAATTACCATTAATTAATCAATTTTGTAAAAATAAAAAATAAAAAAATAAAACTTATATTTAAAAAAACTTGTTTTGGCTTGCGAGTAACAACGTTTTTGAATTTTTAAACCTTAAAAACAGTTTGTAATTTATTCGTTAGTAAACTACAATGGTCAAAAATATCGTTAAAATCTGTAATTATTTGTTTTTGCATAATTTTTTCCTTCAAAAGAAGCAATATTTAATTTGCCTGTTTGTTCTGTTAAACCATTGTGTGACCAAAAACGTTGTAATAATTATTGGCTTTCATATTGAAAAGCTTTTTGTCAAATATATTTGTATTAGTTATTGTTTTTATTTTGCTAAACGATAAAGTCATTGAGTATTTTGATTTTATCTATCGTTTTTTAATCAAAACTTTGCATAAAAAATAAATAAATCACCAAAAATAAAAAAGTATTTGAAATTAATGCTTTAATGAAATGCACAATTTATTTAAAAAAATGCTTAAATAATTTTATGGATAAAATTAATTCAAGCAACGAAATCCATCACTTTCTTTATATCTGAGCAGCTCGTTGAAAAAATTTACCACTTTTTCTTTCCTTCGTAGTACCACCACTTATTACTGATTTAGTGTTGAACCAAATTTCGCACAAAAAATTTGCAGCTGTTTTTTTTTTGAAAAATTCAAATTGAATTTTTCAAATTCAGAAAGTCAAGTTTTTTTTTCATTTTTCTAAAAACAAAAGAGTCAATGCACATATATCAATCAAATGCACTTTTTTATTATTCATTTGTTATTCATTAAGAAGTAATATGAAAAAAGCTTTAATTTTAATTGAAAAATATTCGTGACAATTATTTTTCTACAATCTAAAGTACTAATTTAATTTATTGGATAAACTATTCACTTTGAAAGAAATATATTCAATTACAACATATTCGGAATCGTAAATTTTGTAGCAAAACACTGTAATTTTACATTTTTAATTTATATAGGTTACAAAATTTATTTGTTGTATTCACAGTAACTCTATCATAATTACTAATAAAGTAAGTAAATAAACACAGTGAAAAGGCCATTGGTTTATTTTTATTTATTTTGAAAATAAAACAAGTAGTCAAAAATAATAATAATAATCAAAAAAAGGTTTCATGGGTAAAAATATCGTAGCAACCAGCAAGAGTTATGGCAAAAGAAACGAGAATGCATGCACTTGCAATAAGAGTCAATATTTAACATTTTTTCCGAGAAAATAAAGAAACTCTTAATTTGAAAAGAATATTTACTTCGATTTGGTATTAATATAAAAAAATTTAATGAATTGAAACAAATATTCGATGAGAATTTGTATTGAAAATAGTCAATTCCTCATTCATTCAGCTTTCTTTGAATAATTAATAATTTGAGGTCAAAGAATTGAATAATCAAAGCTGAAATTTTTTCTTTTTTTAACGTTTTTTCATAGTTTGTTTTGCGGAATATAATAGTTTGAAATAAGTCTTAATCAAATTTACGCTCATACAAAAATTTGAACAGTAATGTTGATCAGTTATCAATATTTAATTCTCCAATTTTACTTCATTGATAGTGTTTATCAGTAGTAATACTAATTAATTCCTGGACTTCCACGAATATCGATGCTGTTTTAATTGAAAACTTTCAGTTTTTCCGATTCACTATCCCTATTGACCAATGAAATATCTATTGGAATCAATTAACTTAACAGTATTATTATAGTTGATATAAATGAGAAGATCATAATTTAAATTAAATTAAATCGTATACATTCTCATCATTATTTGCCATAATAAATTTAATGATTGAATTGCAAGAGTATCTAAAAGATTCAGATGATTATTTTAATAGTACTTCTACTTTTTGTTCTGTCTTCAAAATGGATGCAAGACAAATCAGCGATTTTTCCATTGCTTTTCATTCCAACAATAAAAATATTAATGCACTTATGAACTCTTAATTTTTATTGAATATCCGCAAAGGATTCTGGCATGACTTCTAATCTCACATTTTTTGCAACTTTTTATTGAAGTAATTTTTGTGGTAATTCAAACTATCAAAAAAGTGTAACAGATAGAATAGCAATAAAAACAAAGTTCCGATTTTTTTCAAAACTATTTAGTAAGTATTCTTCATTATGTTCATTAATATCAGTAGAATTTTTACAATATTTAATTTAATCACATTGAGGTCAAACCTCAAATTCAAATTCCAATCCCTCCCTTCCCTTTCATTACCCTTATTACCCTCATCACCCTCATTACCCTCATTATCCTCATTACCCCCATTAGTGTAAATATTTACAGTTCAATAGTATTTTGCATGATATTTATTTCCGAAGCAAAATATACCAAAATGTGATTTTGACAATTTGCCCTATCAGATTTTTGTAGTTATTCAACTATGTATATATTAGAGATTGTTGAACAAAGTTTATTCATCAGTTTGATTAAACTTATCAGAATCCAAACTGTAGTAGCCAGAAGTCACACTATTTTGCACTACTTTATCTGGTATAAATTCTAAATAGTCTAGTTATGAATTTAGAGCACTTGGAAGCACTAAATTTTTAGTGAAGGCTTAGTTGATTAGGAAAGTAAATGTGCGTGAATACAATGAAATACTTATGCAAGTCTTCGAAATATAAATCATATCATTACATCAACTTCGATATAAGTTCAAGTAATTTTGGGAGTAAATTATGCTGCATGAATAAAAAATCAGACAGAAAAGTGATTAAAAATACAATTCGAAGGAAAGATATTTTGTTGTGGTTGCTCACATTTGAAACAAGTCAAGTTACTTACTGTCAATGCAATGATCATTATATAATACAGTTTTTTGATATTGCTTTTCTTGCCAACAAATTTATTACCATTATTTTAATTTCTTCTTCTTCTTATTATTTATTATTTACAGGCATAAAAAGTCAAATTTGATTACTAAAATTAAGTAGCAAATACTGTTAAATTTTTCTGTGTCATAGAAACGTAAAATGGTTTTATATCCGTAAGGTCATAGTTACTTATTATTAATGTAATTCTATCGCACTTACTTTTTTTTCAAATTCTTCTAATAGTCTTTTTAAAAATTTTTTAAATAAATCAGTTGATGGAACTGATTTGTTGTTATGATTACGTCAACTGTTATCAGAATCTTTTTTAAATACTAATTTTTTTTCAAGCTTGTTAATTGCTGATTAATTTTAGCATCTTATTGTAACTTATGATGTAGACACGGTTCTTTGTTCTTTTTGAACCAAAGCTTTTTAATTAACTTTTTGGTCAACTATTGCAGAGTTCAAATTTTCTGAGTAATCACTGGCATGTCTTAAAAATGGCGCGTAAATTAAATAGCATTTGGTAATACAATACTTGAGAGTAACATTTTTTTTGCATTTTTAACAATAATCGATTTGACATCTATAATAATTTGAAGAAAGAATAAAACAATTAAGTAAGTGAAATCCCAAATAGTGTAATTTTCTCTCATGAATTGTAGACATTTGTTAGAAAGTAAGAAAGATTAGAGGTGATCTGACCAGCTTGTAATTTTGAATTAGTATTTATTTTTATACTGAAAGTGGAGCATAGCATTTCTTGTTTGGAGCATAAAACAGATCATCAAATAAATCGAATGACAACTAACATCTTTTCAACATAAAATTTTTCTCAAATTGATCAGATTAAGGAAGAAAAAGATTGAGAGTGATTAAGAGAGAAAGTGAAATTCAGAGAGAAGGAGAAAAAAAATGGAAGAAAAGAGTACATAAAGACTTTGATATTTACTCATACGTAAATGATTGATAGGACCAGTATTTACGTGGTTAATTAACTGAACCGGATCTGTTCTTATTTCTTTCCATCTATTCAATTATTTACTTATGAAAATATAATTTACACAGATGTATGCACACATTTCTATGAATAAATTAAAAGAATAAATGCTAAAAAATAGAAATCATTTTGCGCAGCAAATTAATATGAAAAAACAAAAAAGTGAGATCAATGGCGTTTAAAAATTAAATTTAATGTTGAAAATTTATAATGCTAATAACTTAGTTATAGAAACACTATATTGTGGTGATAATAAATTCTTTGATAAAAAAATTATTCTGCCTTATCAATATTAAACTGTTTACAAGTTGTAATTTCAAAATTTATCTTACAGTTTTATTCAAAATAAATTTCAAAATTCAAAATGCATATCCTCAAAAATAGCTCTCATTTCCACGTTAATTAATACCTAAAATGCTCTACTTGTTAAACTTTATGTCTAGATTTGATTTACATATTTCGAGATTTCACCAAGTAGTTTCTTTATATTCCAAGACTTTCCTGTTTATGGTACTTCTAGTACTGCCTCCAAATGATCTCCAGCTGAACACTTTTTAATGAAAAAATCGCAATCTTTCAGATCTAGGCAACTTCCATTACTATACTTTTCGCTTGCTATCTGATACAACATCCAAATCTATCAAATACTTTAATAATTTTTAGTTTTTATCCTTTTTCAGGATCCTTCAGAGGATAACTTGAAAGAAAACGATACCAAAGCACCAAAACCAGCCACTTCTGAGAATAACATCGATGTGAGTGCATATTCAGCTGCTAAGCTTACTGCATCTAATATGGAATCAAATATCGCAGGTATCCAAGTTTCATAATGTCATTGCGATAAACGTGTTTTAATCAAATTAATTAATAAAATACTGCACTTGCTAGCTTTGAAAATTATTGCCGTATTCTTTATTTATGATAGTCAAAAATCTTCCATGGCTATTGTAAAGAAACATTACGCAACATAATAGTAAATTACAGATGAATATCCGATAAAAACGCTTATTTATTCGCCAACCTATGGATATGATCAATTAGAACAACCTAAGCAGTCACCATTACCACCAGCAGCGATGCCAGTGCTTGATTATTCTGGTGACCAAAAGCAGCCGCCAAATATCATGGAAGAAAACACATCATCCTATTTTAGTAATGATTTATCTCTTTTCCACAAATATTTACTTGTAGACGTAGAACTCATAAGTTTCAGACTGCTCTTAGTAGGTTTACAATAATTTTTTCAAGTAAGATTAGTGTGAATGAAAAATAAAACGCTGAAATAGATTTAAACTGCAGGTGGATCAACGAGTGATGAGAGTAAAGTAAAGTCAAATTCCGAAGCACAAATGTATCCATCACCAACTGATGAGCCCATAAAGCATGCGATCATTCCATTACCACCATCAGAATCTCATTTGACTTCAAAATTATCAAACAGCGAGAGAAAGAGTGAATATCCTTCGCAGTCTCGTTTTTTGTCAAAATCAATGAGTAGCGAAAGCAGAAGTGAACAATCTGAATTACATCCAGTAATATTTGCTACCGCCGACTATAAATCAACAACTAGACATGAAACGGTCACTAATGTTACTTCACTGCCGACATTGACTGAAAACATAACTGAAATGGTACTTTCAAGCACCACATCTCAGACTTCATCTAGGCTAGCAGTTGCTCAAAATGTGACCACCTCCACCTTATTTCCTTTATCATTTCAAGAAGAAGAAGATAGGGAAGAGTTTCAGGACAACAAAGAAAATTTCATGTTTATAGAGGAAGAAACCAAGATTGACTCGTATAGTAACAAAACAAGTGTATTGCCAAACAACTTGAATCTTGAGACACTTTCAGAAGTTACACCCATGATTTCCGATATGCCATCAATCCCAGTTTCTCAAGTAACAGAAAAAGAACACGAGTTACAAATACTGAAAATTGCTGGCAAAGCTGGTACGACAAGTGTTACCCCTAAAAGTGATGATACGACTGCTAAACCTGAAAGTAGTACCATAACTACTGAATTTAAGAGTGGCAATATATCTGTTAAACCTGCAAGTGGTTATAGAACTAAAATTAGTACTGCAGCAGTTCAACTCAAAAGGATTACTACTGCGACGGTTCGACCCATTAGTACTACTAAATTTGTTCATCCCAAAAGTACTATGACAACAGTCCAACCTAGAAGTACTACAGTTGCGCAAGTTGAAAGTAGCACTACTACTTTTGATTCTGAAAGTAGTACTACAACTGATCAGTTCGAGACTGAAACCACCGATGCACAGTTTACGCCTAGCACCAGAATTGACAAACCTGAGAATGTTAGCGTAGTTGTGATACCTGAAAATAATATATCAGTTGAATCTACAAGTGATATTATAACTGTTCAAGACAGCAAAGAATTAGCGTATGTCTTTTCCAAACTTTTGATCTTTTTTTTCACTTCAAAAAGTAAATGCAGTTGAATTTGTATTTACCTTCTGAAAATGATCAAAGCATTCAAATAACTTGAATACTGTAAGATGCATACAAAAGTTTTTAGGCATACTTTTCCGACAATACATTCTCAAGAAGCACATCAGAAAATTTCAGCAATGTCTTACAACCATTCTGCGCCAATTGCATTTGTTCCTAATAGATTAAGAGGTAAATTTGATGTTTTTTTTGTAAATATCACATTATTATTTAAACAATTTAAGTTCTTTTGTATTATAAATTCTACTGATATCGAAAGGTTAGATAGAATTTAATGATGAATAGTAGAATTTATTTCATTTTTTGCCTTGTTAACAGTTATCAAGGAAGTAATTTAGCAAAAAGTAATAATTCAATTAATTGAATTGGTTTCAAGATTTATTTTTTTTCACCTCAACTCCAGGTAAAGCTCACGTAGTATGTAAAGGAAACGGTTTACAATTCCGCATTACTACACTGTTCCCATTCAGCGGGCAGATTTTCGCTCGCGATCGAAAATCCTCTCCTCAGTTTGTGTTACCCCTAACTTTTGTTTCTTTTGTCTCTATTTTTAGTAAAATTAATTGATTTAATCTTTTCTGAAAGTAATGATGCAGCTGCTGAATTGAATCATAGAAATTCAGCGTAGTGCACGCAAAAGGGATCCATGTCTGTCTGAGATTCCAATAATTTCAACTTTTCAGAGTACTTACATTCATGAAATTTTCTTTTGCTTTTTGCAGATGTCGTTTCATATTTCATGAAGCAACTGTAGTTAACGTAAGCTTGCCTTACGAAGAGTGTGGCATACGAAATATCGGTACTTTTTATGAAAAACTAACCAAACTTTCTCAGTTTCGTTTATTGTTCTAGTAAATAATCTTCACTAAGTTTTGCAACTTAACATAAGCATATTTGAAGTTACGTTTAACTTTGAAAAGCCCAACTGATCATTGCTGTCTTATATTTGTGTATTTCAAGCACAAGTTTTATGATCACGTACTTTTTATTATTATGCATAATAGTATATAATTATAATGGTTAATTATTACATGTAGTGAAGAAAAATGTTTGATCACAAAATTTCATCTTAGCACAAATGATTTTCAGGTGAACAACGAGCAGAAACTCAGTATCATATGCAAATTGTTGTTGTTTTTCAGCAGAAAAATAATACTAGCACTGTGCAATCATTTATCGCTCAATGTTTACATCAAAAAATACATTATCAAAAACAGCAAATACCAAAGCGTATTGAGGAAGCATTAGAAGAGTAAGTTACCTATTTTTGAAGCAAAGCATTTTTGATTCATCAGTTAATCCTTCATGAAACTATGTTTAGTTCGTCTTGAAGTTGCAATGTTTTCTCTAATCATTTCACAACTTTCACATTTACACATTTCGCGAATAAAATACATTTCTAAGTATAATTTCGCAGATATCAAGTTTATGAAAATTGACACAAATTGAGTCAAGATAGCATGTTTTACATAAAATTGAAAAAGTCAGTTTGCAGCTCTCAACAAAATTTTTCAAGTTTCCATAGGAACTTGATAACTATTTGGCAATACTTTTTATTTAGATTGCATTTGATACCAGCAAAATTACAACAGAAAGCACCAATTCCGGAATGCATGATGCGAATCGTCACTGAACAAGAGCATGGTCATGGTGATGATGGCACCGAAGTGGATACCGTTAGTCTAGGACAAGCAATGAGAATTGAATGGAGTTTGATACCTGAATCGGGTGATTTCAAGCAAATAATTCAGAACATATATTATACTTTCCACATTCTTCATTATATGCAGTATTTTTTGAATTTATTTCGGTGGAAAAAGTAATTGTATTTTCAGTTTTTAATGAACATTTTAAAATGCAAACATTCTTAGTTTTATTGCCTTTTTTAGCACATTTTGGTACTATAAAATTCCAGAATGTTCAAATTTTGAACATTCAAAAATTTTGCATTAAATTTGTGTATTGTTTTTGATCACTTTTGAAGAAACTTCCAATTAACATTGTATTACATTAAGTGTGAAGTGTTATCAACTTGCTAAAATACAGTTTTTTAATTCTTAGCAATTTCAGATGCTTATGGATTTCATGTACGAAACTGTACGGTTCGAGATATGCTAAGTGATGAGGAATATCAAGTAATTGATGAACGTGGGTGAGTGATATTGCATAAATTAATTTTCTTTACTAGCGTTCAAGTATAAACAAAAGTTGAGTTATATCTAGAGTGAAACTATTCAAATTTTTGTTATAATTTCAAACCAACACGAAACTGAATGTGTCATTTTCAGATGCTCAACGGATATAAACATCTTCAGCCATCCACATTACGATACCTATCATGATACAGCTCGAGTACATTGGCATGCCTTTAAAGTACCGGATAGCAGTCAGCTTAGTATCAAGTGCTTCATGGAAATATGTACTGATATTCCTGACATGAAATCCGGTTTGAGTAACTGCGATAGCATACCATCCGTAGGATTTTCTTTCATATCAATCAAAAAATGATACATCGATTCTTTTTAGATTGTTTAGTTAGAAATAGCTCAATTGATAACTTGTGGTTAAATGATTGATCACGAAACCAAAATTTGCATTTCAAACTTTTCAGTTTTGATCAGAAAAGTATGGTTTTGTTACAGCCTCCGTTTTGTCCGGATTTGGTAACTTCGTCGACAAATGCTTTAATTTTTGATGAAGTTATTCGTAAACGGCGCGATCATGCCTTATCTCAACAACATGTTCATGCTGATATCTGCTTTGGTGATAGTAAAGATAAATATTGTAACTCAACAATTTATCAAGCCGATCGTAAGCAACATATCAGTTTGATTAATGGTATGAACTTGTCTCAATAAATTCCTGTATAACCGATGCAATAATACTATATTACTGACTTCAAAGAGTTACATTGATTTTATGAAAATCTCCTCAAATTATTAATAAAATTTGTTAAAACGAGTTCTATTTTCTAGAGAGATAACAAAGTTCAGTTTAGCTATTTTGTCGCTTGTAACCAATCATTGGTTAGCTACTCTTGAATATCTGCTTAATTTAATTATATCATTATTTGTAGCACCAAAACAATACTGCTTATCAAAATTATGGTTAAGCATTTGGACGGGTTTCTCCGCTTGTACAACTTTACTTGCAATTTCTGTACACGGGTTTTGCCGTTATTCCCGACGGAAAATGTATCAATCTACTGTTACTAATACTTCACCAGCAACAATTTGCAAAGAAAACACAGAAGTTATTTTTACTCTATCCCACTAGTCATATCAATATCTCTGATAATTCATATCATATCAGTAAAACAATACATTTATCTTTGTTATTAATTATATTGTAAATGGTCATCTTTATTAACATTTTATTGTAAATTTGTCATTTTCATTTTTCCATTTATTCTACAACTATGCTAATTTTGGTCATAAATTATCTACTTTTTTGTAGTCATCTTAATTCTTGCAGTCATCAAAAACAAAAATCTCAACATCAATAAAATATTTCGGAAGCTTTATAAAAATTACTCTTGATTTTTTACTTTGCATAAGCTAAAATTTTTGGAAAAATTTTGTACATTGATAAATGTTTACGCACCACTTTATATATTAGAAAATATTAAATTAGTACTTTCCGGTGCCACAGTTGTGTTAGCCTTTTGTTTAGTGTCAGTTTATATAGTGATTAACTAATAGTAATGAAAGATTTACTTGTTTAGTATAGCTAAAAAATTGAGATTTACGAAAAACTCCTTTCCCAATACAAACTTCAAATATATTTGTCCTGAAAATTAACTGCGGAATCAACTGTTTTCCGTCATTGAGTTCACGATGAGCAAACTCACAAATACTAATACAGGAGCAGATCTGAACTGTATAGTTGATAAGTACATTTCAGCAATAAATGATATTAGCAATCAGTTTGTTTTTTTAAGTTTTTAAATAATTTTATTTTCATCGGAGTGATAGTTTATTTGTGTCAACTTCATTTTAAAAACAGTTTCATGAAACATTTTTTGTGAGGACAATAATAACCCTATGAAACTTACATCCCTTCCAACGACAAATAGCATCATAATTTTTGTGACACAAAGTTGAAACCAAAATATCTTACAAATTTACGATATAAATGCAAGACTGTACAGTCAATTTGTTGTGTGCAATCTTCTGGAATTCACTGCGTTTCTTTTCGAGCATTTGAAAGCACTTAGTTTCAATTATTGCAATATGAAAATTATTTCTGAATAAGCTGAAAATGAGTCTTGAAGAAGTGTTTGTTGCAACTTCAACAGAATTGTAAAAGTAATTTGCTTATTGTTTTGTTTGTCATTTGACATGTAAATTACTACTTATGTATGCAACATAAATTCTGCCAATCGATCTTGGATATTTTCTGAATAAAAATTTGCAGTACTTCTCGTAGCTCTGTTCGTTGAGACAGATTCATTAAGCATTTTTTGTATTAATATTAGTATTCTTTTTCTTCTTTCCAACCTTACAATCATATCTAAGAATGCTGGAAAAAATTTAGAGCAAAGGACTACAATTAATTTCTGCTTGTAACTATTTCCTCTAAAAATTGTTCACATTAATCCTTACGATTCCGGAACGTTGAAATAATTAACAAAATAATTGACATTACAAAACTTCTTTCTATACTGTCATTTTATAGAAACTATTAAATAATTGTTATCACTCACTTACTGACTGTTTTTGATTCGAAATGCTTTTTTTGAAGTTTACTTCCAAAATGTTTGAAACTAAAATAAAATCAGTGGTATAAGTTAGTTCGAGTTTACGTGACACTCTCTTTAGTCTGCGTAACACACCTTTACGGCTTGGGAAAGCTTTAGGTCATTAAAGAGATAAACTTGTCATCTTTCTATATTAATATAACCTAATTGATTATTAATGTTATTCCAACATTTTGAGTACTTCTGAACAGCTTACTTGTCAAGCAATTTCAAAACAAAAAGTTAAATTTTGGCTATTATGTAGAACAAATGTGGAAGTAACTTATAAGAGTAAAGGATAGCACTGCAATATTTTCGAGATTGTGCAACAGTTCTCATTTGTGTACAATTCAGAATAGTATTTTTGCTGAGTAATAAGAAGTACCAAAGTGGAGACAAAATTAAAACATGAAGTGGCATTGAAAATTTTTATGGACTACATAAGGAATATGTAAAAAAAATATCAAGAAATGATAGAAATGTTATATCTGAAAGACTTATATCTCACAAATTGAAGTATCAGATGAAGCGATATTCCTTCACCGAAACGAGCATTTTTACGTTTACGTAACTTATTAATGTTATTCCATCATTTTGAGAAATTTTTTTTACGTTTACGTAAAAATGCTCGCTTTGAGGTTTCACAATTTTAAAACTCATTTAGTGTTTAAACACTTGTAGATTCTAAAGTCAAAAATTCTTCTTAACAAGAAAAAATGCATTAAATATTCTTTGTAATGTATTTTGCACTTTTTTATTAAAATTTATTACTGTAGAAAAAAGGCTTCCAAATATTTAAAACAGTTTGCTTACTGTTACTTTTGTTGTTTCTTTTAATGCAGCATTTATACAACTAATTTTTTATCATTTTTAATGTGTTAATTAATTAGCATCGCAAATGTATACGTGATGAAGCGATATTCTCTAACTCCATAAGAGATGATTTTTGGGTTCATATCAGTTTCTTCCACATTATCATTCCAACTATTATGATATTTACTAATTTATTTTGCTCGTACTGGTAGTAATTGAGAAATTTTTTTCATTTGTTACTTGAAATAAACTAAATTTTTGCAAATAGATAATTGAATTAATCTTTCTTCACAAATTCACAACTCGTTTCATTGCTATACGTATATTCTACCATTTTTTAGCACTCAAATTTGCTATCGTTATAAATGGCCATAAAGGTTAAAAGTTAAAAGTTATCAATTTACCGATGTACATTTTTGATTAACTTTAACACGGTTTGAAATAAAAAATTATAAACTGTAACAAAATTGTTTTACTTACAAAGTAATAAATAACTGATCACTTTTTCAGGCACATATTTTTGATATGCAAGAAATAAGCCGATTTATCAATGCATTTTATGATTGGTAATTTTGTGCACAGCAACAAAAAAATTACGTTTTTAATTCTATGATAATGCCCGCTACAACTTGGCTTCATTTCGATTGAATTCAGAAAGCTCAGTGTTAGCTTACTCAAGCGTTGTATGAAAATGCGCGAAAAATCTGAATAAAAGCAGCAGTTAGTATTCTAAAGTTAAGTTCAAAAATTGTCAAACAAAACTTATGAGATGTGCATGTGGTTTATAGAAAATGGAAGGGATTAATTTTTCCTTTTTCAATGCAACTTTGAAAAAAGGCGTAAACATCAATGTCAAAGGTTAGATTGGCACTTTGAAAATGCTTCCTATCAAACAGCCATCTTTGCAGCACAAAATAAAAAAAATAGTTTGCAAAAATATCATTTCAAGCATATTTGCATTAGTTGCTCAAATCAGTGGTAGGATGATTTTTGTTCTTTTTAAGAATTTCCAATTCATGTAATCAGCTTATAGAAGTGTACGCTGACTTTATGAATAAAAGATGAAGTTAAATTGTAGTCAATCGTATAAAAGATAAAAATGTTTGACAGATGACAGTTTGTAATATATTCTCATACTTCTCTTAATATGTCAAGATTTTTTTAAGCAGTAAAAGTTAGGACGATGTGATTAGTTCATTTTAGATTGAAACTTGCATACTACTTAAAAATGAATCATATGATCTGGGTATGGCTAACAATAACACATTTTCAACAATTCTCAGTACTGCAGGCAGAAAGCACAGTAAATTTAAATTTCATTTTTTTGTATTGCCAGTTTTTTTGGTATCAGCCAGCAGTTTTGTATTACCAGAAATACCAAATGTATTTAATTATTAAATGTATGTGTACGAATATCGTCAAGCATTCAAAGTTAATTTTAGACGAATGATTATACACCGATAGATTTATCACTGAAATTTAAAAAACAAAACTCACCTACTACCTTTTACGAGGTAATTCATTACATTTGACACTTATTTAACAAAATGTTTTATTGAATTTAAAATGTATACTAGCAAACAAAAATACGTTTTTTGTCATATTCCGTGTAATTTGTGTAATTGAAATAGTCGTCATTACCATAAATGAACAGAGTATTTTGAGAGCACTAAGAACTATCCAACAAGCAGTGACTATCCATTGGATCTGTCAGCAAAAAAACGGCACAGTCCGAGCAGTATTCATGAAGTTGAAAGTTTTGATCATTCATTTTTGTTTGTTTTTGAGAAAAAGTAATGCATTCACAATATGTTAGACTGCGCAGAAGTGAATTTAAAATGTATACTAGCAAACAAAAATACGTTCTTCTGTCT